TTTTTTGGGATTTTTTGGGGATTTTTTGGGGATTTTTTGGGGATTTTTTGGGGATTTTTTGTGATTTTTTGGGGATTTTTTTGGATTTTTTTTGAGATTTTTTGGGGATTTTTTGGGGACTTTTTGGGATTTTTTTTTTTTTTTGATTTTTTGGGATTATTTTGGGATTTTTTGTGATTTTTTCCCGAATTTTTCCAGAATTTTTCAGAATTTTTCCGGGATTTTCCCGGGATTTTTCCAGGATTTTTCTGGGGATTTTTTGTGATTTTTTTTGTGAATTTTTCCGGAATTTTTCCGGAATTTTTCCGGAATTTTTCCCGAATTTTTTTGAGAATTTTTTCAAAATTTTTCCGGAATTTTTTGTGACTTTTTCCAGGATTTTTCCCGAATTTTTCCGGAATTTTCTCGGCATTTTCCCGGGATTTTTCCAGAATTTTTCAGAATTTTCCAGGATTTTTAAGGAATTTGCCTGGGATTTTTTGTGAATTTTTCCGGGATTTTTCCAGAATTTTCCTGGGATTTTTCCGGAATTTTCCCGGAATTTTCCCGGGATCTTTTGTGAATTTTTTGAGAATTTTTTGAGAATTTTTCCCGAATTTTTTTGGGATTTTTCTGGAATTTTTTGTGAATTTTCCCGGAATTTTTTGTGAATTTTCCCGATGTTTTTCAGAATTTTTTGTGAATTTTTTGTGAATTTTTTCGGGATTTATCCTGATTTTTCCGGGATTTTTCCCGAATTTTCCCGGGATTTTTCTGGAATTTTCCCGGGATTTTTCCAGGATTTTTCCGGGATTTTTTGTGAATTTTCCCGGAATTTTCCTGGGATTTTCCCGGGACTTTCCCGGCATTTTCCCGGGACTTTCCCAGAATTTTCCCGGGATTCTCCCGCAATTTTCCCGGGATTTTTTGTGAATTTTTTGTGAATTTTTTGTGAATTTCTCCCGATTTTTTTCGGAATTTTTCCGGGATTTTTTGTGAATTCTCCCGGGATTTTCCCAGCACTTTCCCGGGACTTTCCAGGAATTTTCCCGGGATTTTTTATGAATTTTTTGTGAATTTTTTGTGAATTTTTTGTGAATTTTTTGTGAATTTTTTGTGAATTTTTTGTGAATTTCTCCCGATTTTTTTCGGAACTTTTCCGGGATTTTTTGTGAATTCTCCCAGGATTCTCCCGGCACTTTCCCGGCATTTTCCCGCAATTCTCTCGGGATTTTTTGTGAATTTTTTGTGAATTTTTGGTGAATTTTTTGTGAATTTTTTGTGAATTTTTTGTGAATTTTTTGTGAATTTTTTGTGAATTTTTCCTGATTTTTTTCGGAATTTTTCCGGGATTTTTTGTGAATTTTTTGTGAATTTTTTGTGAATTTTTTGTGAATTTCTCCCAATTTTTTTCGGAATTTTTTGTGAATTTTTTGTGAATTTTTCCCGATTTTTTTCGGAATTTTCCCGGGATTTTTTGTGAATTTTTTGTGAATTTTTTGTGAATTTTTTGTGAATTTTTTGTGAATTTTTTGTGAATTTCTCCCGATTTTTTTCGGAATTTTTTGTGAATTTTTTGTGAATTTTTTGTGAATTTCTCCCGATTTTTTTCGGAATTTTCCCGGGATTTTTTGTGAATTTTTTGTGAATTTTTTGTGAATTTTTTGTGAATTTTTTGTGAATTTTTTGTGAATTTCTCCCGATTTTTTTCGGAATTTTTTGTGAATTTTTTGTGAATTTTTTGTGAATTTTTTGTGAATTTTTTGTGAATTTCTCCCGATTTTTTTTCGGAATTTTCCCGGGATTCTCTGTGAATTCTCCCGGGATTCTCTGTGAATTCTCCCGGGATTTTTTGTGAATTCTCCCGGGACTTTTCCGGCACTTTCCCGGGATTCTCCCGGCGCTCTCCCGCTGTCCCGCAGGATCCCCGGGGCCCCCCGCGGGGGCTGCCGCGTCTGCGGCGCGCGCTGCACGTCCTGGAGAAATACGGCCGCAACCTGCTCGGCCCCCGGCCCCCGCCCCACTGGAGGGACCTGCGCTTCGGCAACCCCGTCTACAGATCCGCCCTGGCCCACATCCAGGTGCCAATTCCCAACATTCCCAACATTCCCGGGAAAAATCCCGCTTTTCCCGGAAAAAATCCCGCTTTTTTTGGCGAAAAAACGACGATTTTCGGGTAAAAATCGCCTTTTTTTTTACCAAAAATCCCGTTTTTTCCGGCAAAAATTCGGGTTTTTTTCCCCTTAAAATTCCCATTTTTCCCCAAAAATCCCATTTTTCCCAAAAATCCCATTTTTACCAAAAATCCCATTTTTCCTGAAAAAATCCCGTTTTTTTTTGGTGAAAAATGACAATTTTCCGGTAAAAAATCCCATTTTTTTTTACCAAAATTCCCATTTTTTCCCCCAAAAAATCCCATTTTTCCCCAAAATCCCAATTTTTCCCAAAAATCCCAAATTTTTTTACCAAAATTTCCCGTTTTTTCCCTAAAAATTTCCCATTTTTCCCCCCAAATCCCCATTTTTTTCCCAAAAATCCCACTTTTTCCCAAAAAATCCCATTTTTCCCCAAAAATCCCCATTTTTCACTCAAATCCCAATTTTTTTCCCATAAATCCCATTTATTTCACTCAAACCCCAATTTTTTTACCCAAAAAATCCCAATTTTTTACCAAAATTTCCCATTTTTCCCAAAAATTCCCATTTTTACCCCAAAAAATCCCATTTATTTCGCTCAAATCCCAATTTTTTTCCCAAAAAATCCCAATTTTTTACCAAAATTTCCCATTTTTCCCCAAAAATCCCAATTTTTATTCCCAAAAAATCCCATTTTTTCCCTAAAAATCCCAATTTTTTACCAAAATTTCCCATTTTTCCCCAAAAATCCCAATTTTTATTCCCAAAAAATCCCATTTTTTCCCTAAAAATCCCAATTTTTTACCAAAATTTCCCATTTTTCCCCAAAAATCCCAATTTTTATTCCCAAAAAATCCCATTTTTTTTACCAAAAATCCCGTTTTTTCCAGCAAAAATTCGGGTTTTTTTTTCCCTTAAAATTCCCATTTATTCCGTGACCTTCCCATTTCTCCTCTCCCAGTACAAACCAGTACAAACCAGTAACCCCAACCCCCATTTCCCGCCATTTTTAACCCTTTCCTCCCCATTTTTTTACCATTTTTAACCCTTTTTTCACCATTTTTTCACCTTTTCCCCCCATTTCTCCCCCTCCCAGTCCCTCCCAGTCCAAACCAGTACAAACCAGTAACCCCAACCCCACCCCCGCAGGGAGGCCGGGCCGTGCTGAAGCTGCTGGGCTACACCCAGGAGTCGGGGGAGGGGCTGAGCTTCCCGGCCCCGCCCGCCGCGCCCCTCCCCCACCGCGTGGCCGCCGTCACCGCCGACGTCATGCTGCTGCGGGCCGAGCTGGAGCTGCTGGAGCTGGTCCGGACTGGTTTGGACTGGTTTATACTGGGAGGGACTGGGAGGGGGGAAAAAACGGGGAGAAACGGCGAAAAAACGGTGAAAAACGGTGAAAAAATGGCGAAAATAGGGTTAAAAATGGGGAATAAAGGGTTAAAAATGGCGGGAAATGGGGTTGGGGTTACTGGTTTGTACTGGTTTGGACTGGTTTATACTGGGAGGGACTGGGAGGGGAAAAAATGGGGAAAAAATGGTGAAAATTGGTGAAAAAATGGCAAAAATAGGGTTAAAAATGGGGAAGAAAGGGTTAAAAATGGCGGGAAATGGGGGTTTGGGGTTACTGGTTTGTACTGGTTTATACTGGTTTGTACTGGGAGGGGTTTCAGGGGTTACTGGTTTGGACTGGGAGGGCGTTAAAGGGTTAAAAATGGGGGAGATTTGGGTTAAACGGGAGTCTTTACACTGGTTTATACTGGTTTGTACTGGTTTATACTGGTTTGTACTGGTTTGAACTGGTTTATACTGGTTTATACTGGCTTGAACTGGTTTATACTGGTTTGAACTGGTTTATACTGGTTTGAACTGGTTTATACTGGTTTGTACTGGTGAGCTCTGACCTCTCCCCTCCCCCCACAGAACCAGCACCCCAACCCCCAGTTCTTCGCCCAGATCTTACTGGGAGAGGAGGAGGTGAGACTGGTTTGTACTGGTTTATACTGGTTTGGACTGGTTTATACTGGTTTGGACTGGTTTGTACTGGTTTATACTGGTTTATACTGGTTTGGACTGGTTTATACTGGTTTGGACTGGTTTGGACTGGTTTATACTGGTTTGAACTGGTTTATACTGGTTTATACTGGTTTATACTGGTTTGAACTGGTTTATACTGGTTTGTACTGGTGAGCTCTGACCTCTCCCCTCCCCCCACAGAACCAGCACCCCAACCCCCAGTTCTTCGCCCAGATCTTACTGGGAGAGGAGGAGGTGAGACTGGTTTGTACTGGTTTATACTGGTTTGGACTGGTTTATACTGGTTTGGACTGGTTTGTACTGGTTTATACTGGTTTATACTGGTTTGGACTGGTTTATACTGGTTTGGACTGGTTTGGACTGGTTTATACTGGTTTGAACTGGTTTATACTGGTTTATACTGGTTTATACTGGTTTGGACTGGTTTATACGGGTTTAGACTGGTTTGAACTGGTTTGGACTGGTTTGGACTGGTTTATGCTATTTATACTGGTCCATACTGGTCTATACTGGTTATACTGGTTTATACTGGTCCATACTGGCCCATACAGATTTGTATTGGTTCATACTGGTTCATACTGGTCCATACTGGTCCATACTGGTCCGTACTGGTGCATACTGGTGCATACTGGTCCATACTGGTTTATACTGGTCCATACTGGTCCATACTGGTCCATACTGGTCCATACTGGTCCATACTGGTCCATACTGGTTTGTTTAGAGGCCGCTGGTGTCGGATGCTGTTCCCGCCCCCCCCGAGGAGCCCCCGGCCGGTAAAAAACGGGAATTTGGGGGGAAATTTGGGAATTTTGGGGGGAAATTTGGGAATTTTGGTTAAAAAATGGGAATTTTGGGAATTTTTGGGAATTTTAAAGGGGAAAAATGGGAATTTTTGGGGTAAAAAGATGGAATTTTGGGGTAATAAAAGGGAATTTTGGGGGATTTTGGGAATTTTTGGGGGTTTTAAGGGAAAAAATGGGAATTTTGGGGGGGAAATTTGGGAATTTTGGGGAAAAATGGGAATTTTGGGGGAAAAATGGGGATTTTGGGGGAAAAATGGGGATTTGGGGGGGAAAATGGGAATTTTGGGGGAAAAAAGGGGAATTTTGGGGGGAAAAATGGGGATTTGGGGGGGAAAATGGGAATTTTGGGGGAAAAAAGGGGAATTTTGGGGGGAAAAATGGGGATTTGGGGGGGAAAATGGGAATTTTGGGGGAAAAAAGGGGAATTTTGGGGGGAAAAATGGGGATTTGGGGGGGAAAATGGGAATTTTGGGGGAAAAAAGGGGAATTTTGGGGGGAAAAATGGGGATTTGGGGGGGAAAATGGGAATTTTGGGGGAAAAAAGGGGAATTTTGGGGGGAAAAATGGGGATTTGGGGGGGAAAATGGGAATTTTGGGGGAAAAAAGGGGAATTTTGGGGGGAAAAATGGGGATTTGGGGGGGAAAATGGGAATTTTGGGGGAAAAAAGGGGAATTTTGGGGGGAAAAATGGGGATTTGGGGGGGAAAATGGGAATTTTGGGGGAAAAAAGGGGAATTTTGGGGGGAAAAATGGGGATTTGGGGGGGAAAATGGGAATTTTGGGGGAAAAAAGGGGAATTTTGGGGGGAAAAATGGGGATTTGGGGGGGAAAATGGGAATTTTGGGGGAAAAAAGGGGAATTTTGGGGGGAAAAATGGGGATTTGGGGGGGAAAATGGGAATTTTGGGGGAAAAAAGGGGAATTTTGGGGGGAAAAATGGGGATTTGGGGGGGAAAATGGGAATTTTGGGGGAAAAAAGGGGAATTTTGGGGGGAAAAATGGGGATTTGGGGGGGAAAATGGGAATTTTGGGGGAAAAAAGGGGAATTTTGGGGGGAAAAATGGGGATTTGGGGGGGAAAATGGGAATTTTGGGGGAAAAAAGGGGAATTTTGGGGGGAAAAATGGGGATTTGGGGGGGAAAATGGGAATTTTGGGGGAAAAAAGGGGAATTTTGGGGGGAAAAATGGGGATTTGGGGGGGAAAATGGGAATTTTGGGGGAAAAAAGGGGAATTTTGGGGGGAAAAATGGGGATTTGGGGGGGAAAATGGGAATTTTGGGGGAAAAAAGGGGAATTTTGGGGGGAAAAATGGGGATTTGGGGGGGAAAATGGGAATTTTGGGGGAAAAAAGGGGAATTTTGGGGGGAAAAATGGGGATTTTGGGGGAAAATTGGGAATTTTGGGGTAAAATGGGAATTTTGGGGGAAAAAAGGGGAATTTTGGGGGGAAAAATGGGGATTTTGGGGGAAAAATGGGGATTTGGGGGGGAAAATGGGAATTTTGGGGAAAAAATGAGATTTTTTTAAGAAAATTGGGAATTTTTGGGGGGGAAAATGGGAATTTTGGGGGAAAAATGGAAATTTGGGGAGGGAAAATGGGAATTTTTAGGGGGAAAAAGGAAATTCTGGAAAAAACGGGAATTTTAGGGGGAAAAATGGGAGTTTTGGGAGCAAAAATGGGATTTGGAGGGGAAAAACGGGGATTTTTGAATAGAAGATGGGATTTTGGGGGGAAAAATGAGAATTTGGGGGAAAAAACGGGGATGTTGGTTGGAAAATTTGGGAATTTTGGGTTAAAAAATGGGGAATTTGGGGAAAAATTGGGAATTTTGGCTGATTTTTGGTGGGAAAGTGGGGATTTGGGGGTAAAAAAAAATGGGAATTTTGGGGAAAAACTTGGGAATTTTGGGGGGAAATCGGGAATTTTGGGGGGAAATTGGGAATTTTGGGGGAAAAATGGGAATTTTGGGGGAAAATCGGGAATTTTTGGGGCAAATCGGGAATTTTTGGGGATCTGACGTGGATTTTTTGGGGCTCCAGGAGTGCCCCTCCCCCCCCCAGGCCTGGCCCTGCCCCCGCTGCACCTTCCTCAACCCAGGCCCCGCCCCCCGCTGTGACGTCTGCGGCTCTGACCCCGCCCACCGCGATGACGTCACCGGCGAAGCGGCCACGCCCACTCCCCGTGAAAATCCCGCCGCTGCCGGGGCTAAAAACGCCAATTCCGGTTGTGGCCCCGCCCCTTCCGGTGAGGTCGCGGTCACTTCCGGGTGTGGCTCCGCCTCTTCTGATGGAAAAGGTGGCACTTCCGGGTTTGGCCCCGCCTCTTCCGGTGCGGATAAGAGCACTTCCGGGTGTGGCCCCGCCCCCTCCCGTGATGCTTTGCGGCGGCGGAAGTTGCTGGAAGACGGGCGGCGCCTGGTGGAGCTCGTGAGGGTGAGGAGAGAGAGGCGGGAATTCCCGGAACATTCCGGAATTCCGGGGGGAATTCCAGGATTCGGCGGGAATTTTGGGGGTTCGGCGGGAATTTTTTGTGGAATTTGGATGGAATTTTGGTCGGATTTTG